AAAATATTCACCAAAGTTAGAGAACTGAAGATATCATTACAAAATGAACAAATCTGAGAGAGGTCTACCCAAGGTACATATTACACCAAGTATCAAAGCATTCAGGCTTATAGTTTTCAAAAAGATGTCAAAAAAGTAAAACATTGACACGGACGACGACGGACAATCACTCATATGATAAGCTCCGCTCGACAAAGTCGACAGCAGAGCTAAAAAGCAGGCAAACACAGGTACCTGTGGTTTCAGATGAAATTATCTTTGGATGCGTTGACATCGTCAGCTGGGGAGGCGGTGGAATTTCGTAAGCATAAAGATACCCTCCCAGTGCTGTCCGAACTTTTTGACCATCAGAAGGTAGACTCTGTAAAAGGCATAAACATAAAGAAGTCAAATAAATACAGCATCACTGTGACAACAGAACATTCGTTGCCATGACTATCACTATTTTCATACTATTTCTCTGTAAAGTAATTATTAATCAAAACACTTCAGTGAGTATGAGTTGATTTGACGCAATACTGTAATTGACAAATATTTGCCGCTACCAGTTACGAGGATTTCAACGATCAAAGAACAATTTAATATGAGATCACAATTTTATAAAAGTCACTGTCCCTCGGCCTCTCAAAGAATAAAGTCACATTTTTACAGCCACAAATTTATTTGAGACCCCCTCTCCCTGAGTCTCATTATTCAAATTTTGCCAGAAAATTTAAAGGAAGTCCCTACCTAGTTAATAAAGTTATCACTTAAATGAAGTTATTAACACAACTGAAATGTAGACAAAGTAGGTTAATAATATTTGAAAGACAATTTTACTATGGAGGACAAATTTAATTTTAACTACTAGTATTAGGCAGTCAATTTCTGTCACCTTTCTCAAAACCTGCATACTTGGTATAAAATATTAATCAAAACTTGCAATCAATCAAAAATTATAACAAACTGTATAATGCAAAATGTTTCATCAAGACTATGTAGAGAGCAGAACAAAATATGGCATTCAAAAGGTAAAAAAAAAAAAAAAACTTTATTAACCAACCAGGGTCTCAAAATGGAGGACAGATCAACTCAGGGTAAGGGAAGAGTGACAGAACAATAACAGTCTTAAGGGAGTAAGAAATCAACATCCAGGGATTTTTTTTAAACAAGGGAACATCTGATCTGATAGTAATTTTGGCACCAAGGAAGCCATAGAATGCTCCATTTTAACTTAGAATTATCAAAAACTCCATACCCTGGTAGAGAGAACCCTATCTCCCCCACTTGGTGGCGCTGCTGAATTGCAGTGCTCCTCCCTCTTGCAGTGTTTTTTCTAGAAAAACCCCTGATATCACAAAGATATTTACCCTTATCATTGCACCAAAGACTTCAACCAGCAGTAACTGTTGTGGCGTTAAGTCACAGAGTTCACTCAGATACTGCTTTAAGTCTTTATATTTGTCTTCCATATTAAGTCTCAAGCCATACTTCATTGGTACTGTACCATCTAGTCTAATAACTGAAATATAATTATGCAAATTACTACATTAGTATTCACATAGCCACAAATGTATTATGCAAATTCATTCATCAGCAACACTCAGCAATGTTTATGTACTTCATTTATATTCATATTCAAATAACATAGTGGCGTCTGTATTATGCAAATGCTTTTATTAATATGAAACTCTCTGCAGTGGAAAGTATCATACTGTAGAATACTTTATTTTAGATGGAATTAATTTTCGCTGAAAAGATTTTTTGGGTGTTTAATTTGTATGGAATTATTTTCACTGATTTCTGATGAGTTGAAGGTAAAATATAAGGAAAAAGAGTATATTTGCTGAATTTTATTTTCACTGAATCATTCTTTCAGCAAAAATAGCGAAAATTAATTCCAAGCGAAAATGAAAAATTTTACAGGAGTATTAATTACTTCATTAATATGCAGCCCACAGCTGTGAAAAAGCAAGTATCATAGTAATTATACGACAATTACACAAATGACGATCAGGAAAATTATTGTAAACATTGTTTTTATCCTAATCACGTTTTCCCATATTAAAACAAGACAAAGCTATCAAGACACACAACCACAGACCATATTGACCACCAAACCACAAGTTTGTTTCATAGCTTACTCCTCACCAAAGTGGTTGATAGTTTGTTGATTGATTACTCACCTACAATTTCTAGGTGCATGGAATTATCTAAAGGTAAAGGTAATGACAGATATGTAAATGGATCAAAACGAACACTTTCGTTACCACACTCTTTGCAGCAGACTAGCGAGCGTAGCTGGCCGTGAAATAAATCGACAATAACTGATCGATTTCTAAGCATATGGTTTTCCCATGCCTGAAATAAAACAATATTAAAACACTGCCATCAGATATGTCTAAGTAGTAACATAGTATTCATTAGTATTATGGAAAGTATCCTCACAAAATGAACAAAATAAACACCAACAGATGCAATAGTGCTGATAGTTTTCAAGAAGAATTTAAGTATAATGTTGACTACAGACAATCACAAATACAAACCATATAATGTATTTGCTCTATTAGAATTTCATCTTTATTAGAATTATTATATACTTGATTATTAAGACACACTAACAGAGCAACAAGTCATTCATGAAAACAGTGAACAAAACTGAAATGATTTGGCCATTTTCAAATCAAAACTTGAAATAAATGCATGTTAACATGTGTTGTATTGCGTATAACGTAATTGTAAAGTTTAATTCCAATCCGTCAAGGCATGTCAGAGATTATGGCTCTGTATTATCATTTGTAAATGCAAAATGACCGTCAGTTGGCCATTATAAATTAGATTCAAAAAAACAACAATGTGCATAAATGTACATTTGTATGTACCAAGTAGAATCCATCCATGCATATTTTGGTTCCAAAATGGCAGAAAAGCTTGATTTTGATGAAGTTTATCATAAAAAACCACACAAAAAAAAGTTTTATAGATGGTATTCTTATTCGACTAGAACATGGTCACATTGACCTTCACTATACAGAAATACTAAATAGAGTATTCTTTAAAATATCCACAGAATGTCAGCATTTACAAGAGTAGTAAACACTTGTTTGTTTCTTACCTCATCAGCGACTTCTTCGTCGGGTCTGCCATCACTGTCCTTCAACTCAACATAAGGTTTGTTTTGTACCCTGTTTAAATCTTCATGTAAGCCGTCTAGAAGGAACGCTAGCAATTCTTGTGAATCATGTTGTTGGAATCCGTTAAAACGAGGAGCATATTTCCCTATTGTCCACTGAAAAAAATAAAATACATCGTTATATTGAGTTTTAAAAAATACTGTAAAAGACTTTATTTTCGCTATTTAACTGAAGCGCTGACTTTTCATAAAACTCGTTTTGGACTACCTCAAAACCAAACTCTGCACAGTTAGATGCATGTTACGTAAAGCGCAAAGACCTATGGGAAGGAGATTGTCTCAAAACATGCCAATTTTGTCACAAATGATCCAACATGGCGACCACACCACCAAAATACGTTAGCATAAAAGTCAGAGGTAAAACGGAGAGATTGTTGTAGACTGGTACGCAATTGACGTTGGCCTGGGAGATGTGACGTTTACACAGCTATACGATGAAAGAAATGGGAGAGGAATGGAGGTGTATGGTGGCCTAAAAGTCGGTCAGACGACAAGTCAGTTCAGTTGCTTTGTCCGCATTGAAGTCAACAAAACTGCAACGAAAGCAGCGAAAGCCCCACGGCCGAAGTCCCCTTTCGGGGTGAAGAAAAGTTTCTTATTATTTTTTTTTCATTTTCTGATTCGGATAATTTGCTTGCACACACAGTCAGTAATATTTTGATCATATGACAAATTTTCATCAAGATACATGTACATAATTTTCTGCATTCAAATTTTTGTTGACTCTCTGTTGGTGTTTTTTTTTCAATATCGAGCCTCTTATAATTTGTTACATAGTTGAAGTAGTTCTAGAGCATTTGTGTCTACACTTAGTCTATCTGAAGTGTCACTTTAAAAGCTGTAGTTTGAATGTCGAAGGAGTTAATTTCCAGGTTGCTGTTGACAAACTTATTGTTCATTTGTAATTAATTTTTTTTTCCAATACAACACAGTAAGTTTTTCTTTATTATTGAGTTGATGTGTATGCCTTTGGCAAAGCTAACATCTGCCTTATCCTCTTGCCTTTTCAAAATCAAAGGTGATGATACCTGTGACTGCAATACAGTACGAGATGTGTACATCAACATGTGCCTTAGGATGAAATCATGACCAGTTGAATATTTAATGTCAAATTGTTTTATTATAAATTTTGGCTTCATTTGCTGCTTAAGAAGAAAAAAGTCTGGTTCCTGGTAAAACAGAACACATGACACTGTTTACTGTGTGAATTGCGACTGTTATAATCATAAAGTTGTTGAAAATGAATCTTTTTTTTGTCTTATAAAACTGCTAATCACTTCTCTAACAGCAAAGCATATAGTTTATTTTTAACAAAAGTACTTCATGCTTACCACCAGTTTTACAATGTTCCTCCCCAACTATGTGTCATGAACTTTTCAGTTTGTACATGAGAAATTACAAGGACTGTTCTTGGCAACGGAATTCCGTCATTAGCCCCTATTCCGCCAAAAAAAATGATATGACTTTTTTTCTTCAATTTCTTTCTCAAATTTGGCCCAAAAAAATTTCACATTTGCCACAGTGTGGAAAAATGTGAAGTTACGTAGATCCATTTATTGTGTGGTAGGCATCAAAATTTGACCTTAGTTCCTCTGCAAGTAAGACTCCTGTATTACTTCATTGTTGTGTTGCAGAAGCCATTGACTGTCGTCCAATAATACATCCTGGAACTGTGAGTTATCACCAATGCACACTTCCCTAAGCAATCCCCTATTTTAGTGACTTTATTCATTGTATTTTTCTGTGCCTATTTCTTGTAATTATTTTGAGAGGTATTAAAACCAGGAGCTTTAACTCAATATTTTGGTGTATGTGTATTTCATTTCCAGTACTATTGTCTTGTCTACCCCATACTAGCAGTGAAAGAACCCCCTGTCCAGTGTGAGTTCTGTGGCCAGGCCTTACACTGTGACAGTCAAAGGTCAATAAGTTGATACAGATGGTGAGGGTATAAGTTTAACAAAACCATTGCAAAAAAAACAAGCAGCCTATCGGCTGAGATAGCTCCGCTGTTAGCAATGCACATTTCAATTAAAAAACTGAAGACATCATTAGAAAATGAACAATATGAATAGTATCAAAGCAATCGGACTTACAGTTTTTAACAAGAAGTCGAAAATATCACTTTTTTCCAAAAATTACAAAAATATTCACCAAAAAAAATTAATTAGAGAATTGAAGATATCATCACAAAATGAACAAATCTGAGAGAGGTCCACATGTAGTACCTATATATGTAATATCAAAGCAATCGGACAAGAAGTCGAAAATATCACTTTTTACCAAAAATGACAAAAATATTCACCAAAATTAGAAAATTGAAGATATCAACATGAAATGAACAAACCTAAGAGAGGTCTACCCAAGGTACATATACACCAAGTATCAAAGCATTCAGGCTTGTAGTTTTCAAGAAGAAGTCGAAAAAGTAAAACATTGACACGGACGACGACGACGGACAATCACTCATATGATAAGCTCCACTCGACAAAGTCAACAGCGGAGCTAAAAAGACTTACCCTAAGTTTAAGAGGTGCTATACTTTTTGACGTACCACTCCACAAATCTTGAACTAAATCGCCATACCTTTTTGCTATATGACCCTTCATTCCAAGGGGGTTGGTTCTGGAAAAAGTAACGTTAAAATGAAATTTAAACCAGTGTTGGGAAAATATGCTTTATATGCTAGGACCCTAGTCTCCAAAATCAACTGATAAAGAGGTAATCTGTTTTTACATCATGACAAGTTGAGATAATTTGAACAAGTTGAATTAGAACATATTGAGGTGAACTCACTTGTTGAATTCGTACTGATGCATATTATCGTTGAAATACTTGGTTAGCGGTTTGGTGTTGCTAATACACTGCAGGGCAGAGTTCATGAAACACGTGTTGCCAAGGTTACTCAGCCCAGTAGCACCCTTGTCAGTAGGAACCTGATTCTTTTTCTTGTCTGTTTTATTCTTCAAAGCAAGTGAGGACATCTCTTCTGGCCAGCTCATGTCTTTATTTCGAACTGAAAGCAATTTATAATTAAAGTTGAAGTTTTTTGTCATAATAAGATGGCAATTGTGAGGTACTGTACCTTTAAATTTTTGTTGCTAGGAATGTTTAAGATTTGGTAATTTAAAGGTGCTTGTAATACAAGTTTATTTGTGAAGAGGCTCTGTGACTCCCTAGTACCCCAGTGAAAGTCATGTCGTTGCCCTAGAACCAAAGTGCAAGACACTGCGACTCCCTAGGACTCACCAAAATCTCAGTAAAAGTTCAGTGTCTCCCTAGGAACCCAATGAAAGTCACTGTGTCCCCCTAGTATTCCAGTAAAGGTCACTGTAATTCAATAGAACCCCAGTGAAATCCATTTAGACTCTCAGGGTTCCAGTGAAAGTTATTTTGACTCCCTAGGTATCCAGTGAAAGAAAATGTTAATCCCAAGGACCCCAGTAAAAATACAGTTGATAACTACAAAATTTCATAATTTTGCCAGACTTGTGAAAAAATGTTTTTATGTAAAGTACTTTATAGCTTCCAATGTTGTCACTATACATTTCGGTAATTTGGTGATTTTAAGGGCAATTTTATGACAACATTTTGCGATTGATCACAGCAACTCTTCATCTCAAGAATCAAATTACGATTTTCCTGATTATAAATGTATATATCTATTCTGTATTTAATTTGAAAATGAAATGTGCCTTTAAGGTATTTTGTATATATTTATTCTGTATTTAATTTGTATTTAATTTTAATTAGGCATGTCGAGTAGTAACATTGAATTCAAAGTATTTGGCCAACCTCATGGTAACACCAAATTCAAAGCATTTTTGGCATATATCATGTGACAACACAGAATTGATGTAAAAATAGACAGATTGCAAAGTATGCAGAAATTTCCAAACCAGAAATAAGTAAATAGATAGTCAATAAAGCTTCAGCATAAAGTATTTAGCATCACATGATTACTCCTACACTGTTTACATCTAATACTACCTCAGATGTTTGACGTCAATGGCCGCTGGATCATCATCCCCCTCACTGGGACAGATATAGTAACAACTATGATATGAAAAGCACGCATGCTCGACTGCTGCTAGGGTGGACATCTCACAGGGATGCATATAGAGTTTTCAATAAAATACTACACTACTGAAAGATGTGATAAACTGTGTAAATTTATTTTGAAATGCTGAGGGAATTGAAGCGGTTGCTGGGTTACAAGCTATATTTCGGTACTCCCAGGGCAGTGGTTTTGAAAAAAAGTACGAGATTTTCCACTATGAAATGCAGGTGTTATTGTTATTGGCTTATTTTGATGAAACATAATTGGTTTCCGATTTTAGTCGCAAATTAGGAGCGAACAAACCAGGCATAGTAAAAGTGAAGATGGTTGGCAACGTCCCCGAAAATGAAGCAGTTATGATTAATGCAATTATGGTAACAGTTGACAACGCTATAAACTGTATGTGACATACGGTACTGATTATCTCCATGGTCATTAATGTGTTTAATTTTAATAATGTGGTTAAATTTAGAACAATCCTCTTATGTAACTGTTCATAATCAAAATAATCACTTAGAAATGCGAGCAGTGATGCATTAGTGGTCACTTTCGCAACCCATTGAACATCAAGGTCACAAAATAAACCTGCATAATATTTTCCAATTTTTTTTCCCCCAAATATTTTGAGTAAGACCTGCAGCCCATGGCGAATTTTGCTCTTTTGATCCAAAATTAACAACAAAATTATAGAAAAATGCATAAAAATATGCCAAATCTTGAACCTAAATTTTGGTGGAAAAAATGTATGGTGTTCAGGGGGGGTTAAAAAATTTGCTTTAAATATTATGCTTGGTCTTATTTTGACTTTGGTACATTGTAATCCACACAGATGAAAGTCAATCTTACCTTCTATCAGAACTTGCTGGTTGTCCTGAATTGACAAATGTTCCAACGTGTGGTTCTCTTCTTCCAACAAGACAGGGTTATTCTACAAAAATTAAATAAAAATAGAGCAACCGTAAAAAAAAGAGTGAACAAACATGATACTAATGTTGACATTCAACAAAAAGATTCGTTATTACCTCTTCATCTTCGCTATCGTCATCATCGTCATCATCACTATCAGTGTCCATATCATCGTTTAGAATATGCGAGAGCTTGTCGTGTAATTGTCTGAAAATGCTCTTACTCGACATCTTGCTAATTTTTTTATAAGTTCACATTATACACTGTTTCTAAACAGAAATTCCAACAAAAGACGAGAGTTTGCTAAAGATATCACAAAATGGAATGAAAGACAAACACACTGGAATTATTATCAATATGCATATGCGTTAGTGGTTAAAAATAGTTCCTAATACCAGTATGACATAGGTAGCAATACAGCAGTGATTAAAGTAAATCCTTTCGCATGGTGGAGGAGGTCAAAACAACATTTCATTTTTTTAAAAACTGTATTCAAATTTACCGCTACGGAATAACATTATCAAGGAGAAGAAAACAAAAACAATATGAGGCGTTGTTTTGTTTCAATCCATGAGTAATTAACAAGGTGTCAATTTAAAATGGCCTCTTTCGGTTACCATGACAACATGGGGAGCCCACAATGGCCACTTAGTTTGCAAAAAAGCCGAAATGCGTTGCCATAAAATTACTGAGGTTAAGGACTATGGGGGTGTCTGTGGTTGTGGGAGGGGGGGTTCTGTATAAACCATAGGACTGTCAACGTATCATCATTGATACACTACAAACAAATTTGTAATAAATAAATAATTTTTTAACACCCTTCAACTATGAATTTCCAGCTACATTGTATTATATAAATCAAATACGAATGCCAAACGACTCTGTGCTTCAGAATGTTGTCAATCATTTTTTTGGATGTTTATGTTTTTTGAAGACCTATTTTATTGTACACTAATTATATTTTCATACTGACTCCTGAAAAGGGTTCATAACTGAATTGAGAATACAACTGCAAAGAAAATATGGCAACAAAAAACACAAGCTTGACTTTGATCTCGCGTTTACTCGGCAAATATCAAAAAAATGTCTGTACAAATGTACAGGAATTGTACAAGTCAGATTAAATCATGTTATATTGTAGACATGAAGATTACGCTTTTTTTTGTGAAATTGTGTCTTGCAATTAACTCTCAAACACTGAAATCTTGCAGGGCAGGAAATTTAACATTTCACAAAATGTTATTTCTTAAATAGAAGTTTTTGCTATCATCTCTAAGTGGAAATATTTTTCAAAATTCTTTCTATAAAAATAAATTCTGGCTGAACTAATGTCACACACAGTATTCTGCAGATGGAATGAACCATTTGTGGAAAGGGGTGAAAGCTACAATATTTGCACTCACCTCATCCTTGAGGTCCCATAGTCGCATGTCTTCGTTTCGTATCCTGAGTCGTTGGCATAGGAAATCATACACTTGTTGTATCGTGTGCATTTTACTAAACGCTGCGACGTATGCAAGATAGCGTTTAGGAGGCGCCGGAGTGTTGTTCGTGTGTGAGCTCGTACCTACGTAGGAACCTGCACCAAAGGAAAAACCACCGACTAGAAAGCAAAGACATGAAAAATTGAGTGAGACTGATTCAGTGTGGGAAACTGCATCAAACAGTACCATAACTGAGAGAAAAAGATTTGCTTGGCAATTGACTGCTTCCTATGTCAGTCAATTGACACTGCTACTGTCAGTGAGTAGGCACCAGTATTGACTACCACTCGAATTCAAAAATGGTAAAATTACTCGAAGTTTATGTTCATTCGTTGTTGATCTTAAGTCATTTTTTGGGTCTTGAAGACTATTCTTTGAAGTATTTGAAGGTCTGATTTGCCAAAAATAACATTCTAATCACAATGAATTACGATGCATCTAACATTGGCGTTCATTACAGCTTCCTGCTTGATTGTGTAATCAAATTTCCTTTTCTAATTCAATTATGCATCGTGTCAAACATTAGGATTAGTAAATCGTAATACATACCAATTCCCATGCTGACGGCATTCCATGTGTTTTGCCTTGGCTGGTTCGCTTGATGCCTCAACAGTCGAACACTGAGAGGGTAAAGCTCTAATTCCGGGGTGGGATCCCCATTGGACGGGATAATCACCTGTGTTAATTAAAATACAAAATATTGTAGATTTCAAAGAAAAATTCCTACCTATCAGTAAAGTAGATAATAATAAAATAAAACAAATAAACAATTCACGTCATTCTACATGGTGCAGACACGTTCATTTATTCTCTATGTTTGCTAACTTTCATGATCAATTCTGATACTGATAAGGGTCAGTACCTGAAGTGTCTGGTGGTATGGAATAATAAGCAAGGAATAACAACTTCCCCATTGTTTACATGTTATTTATCAGTTCTAGCAACCTTTGCCAATTACCAAAGTTTTTGTGAAACAATGTTTCTTCAACAATCCAAATTGTGGTCCAGAATAAATTATTTTAAATGGAATATCACAGAACTATAAGACTTAACTTTTGTAGATTACAATACTAGTATCAATGTGAGCAACGAGAAACACTGAGTGAGGCACATGGTGAAAATCACACAAGAAGAGTTTTTTGTTTAATGACTACCTCACTATTAAGCACAGTCTTCTGAAGTAAATACTGATACTGTAAAATACTTTATTTTCGCTGAAGGAATGACTCAGTGAAAATAAAATCCAGCGAATATACCTTTTTTCTTATATTTTACATGTAATTACACTCATCAGAAATCAGTGAAAATAAATTCCACACAAAACACTTAAAAAATCTTTTCAGTGAAAATTAATTCCAGCTAAAATAAAGTATTTTACAGTAAATGAATTGAATCGCAAGAGGCATCATTATGAGTCCTGAAGACAACCATGTACATGTACACATACTAATGATAATATACGAACGTTTGTGTTTTTGAATATTTACAGGACGACCCCCCCCCCCTCCCAGGATATGTAACTACCAACAAAGACGAATACAATGATCCCAATGGCTCAATCAAACTACAATGACTACAGCTTGACAGATTAAGACAGTACTGTAAAATCTGTATTAGAAACCACGGCTTCTATTAAAATGGTACAATGCAACAGAGGGATTGCGAATTCTATTAAAGCATCTATACATATGAGAAATGGTCAATTTTTGGTTCTCAATTACTCAAAAAGAATGGATGCGACTTCTATTAGGGATGCGGCTTCAAATACAGATTTAAAGTACTACATGTACATCATAATAAACACTTACATTTCTTGGCAATGCTGGAGAACCACCGTACCATGACAACAGCGCCTTCCACACAGGTTCAGGAAGAATTTCAAAATCTCGGCCACGTACTAACGTTGCGTTTTTTCGCAACCGACCTCCTTCATTGGTTAGCATCATCACCTGAACAGTATCACAAATTTAACATGAATACATTATTTTCCAAATTTTGAATAAGAATCAGCGAAAAAACTAATTTCTGCAGATGAAATGATGCTTCAAAGATAGTGTTATTTCATTTTTCATAAGTAATGCTTTGTGATGACTGGAGGAAATATCAGTACGCTGTTTATTCTTTTCTAGAAATGTTTTACCAATCTGTGTAATTTTTTCTGATTTCAGAATTAATTTTGAAGTGAACAGAATAATGCTGGGGGACTTTTCTCAAAGACTAAGGATAAGGTTCGAACAGAAGTAGTTTGCAGAAAAGGGTTAACTGCAGTAAATATTAGAAATCAACACATACCTTTCTAGTTTCTGGCATAATCAACGTTGTATTATCTATTGGTCCGGGTTTCTGAGGTACGACTGGAATAGTGACACTTGGCTGACTATTTCTTTTGCCAGTATGTGCAGGACTTCGTCCATATGGAGGGACATCTTGAGAGAAGCTATTTACTGCTTTCTTGGGAGATCCAGAAGGGGTGGAGTTGTTCGAGAAATTGGCTTCCCTCGGTGAAGATGGTTGGCTCAATGAGCGGTCGGTGCCCCAGGCTTGTCCTGTCTGGCTTGTAGTTTTCCGCGGAAGTGATTTACTTTTGCTTTGTGCTGATATGACTTGATTCGATGACGTCATCTGCAATATGAATATTTTTTTTTGCAATATTGTTGTTTAAAAACATAAGAATTAAGTTATTCATAATAATAAGTGTCAGCAAGTGTCGGCGGTTGGAATGTCTCACTATATGGATATCGCGGTGGGCTCGAAATAGAAAGAATGTATTTATTTCTCCAACAACAGAAGAATAGTTTTCATGACAGAAATACAATAGCTGTGATGAAAGATGGTAAAAAAATTGACAGTCTTCGGCGTGACATTGCAAAATTACTGGCCCCAGTTATGGATTTGCAAGCTGCTACCAAATATTCTATATACCCAAAATAACGTGATTTCAACCACGCTCCCAGGTACGGGTTGCTACAAGATTGCAGCATTGGTTTCATTGTAGATAACGCTAAAGCTGGACATGACCTCAATTTCTTTATTGTATGTTATTTCTAAAACCAGAACTTTCTGCAGTATTAGGTTTTTTGACACACTCCATACCACAACAACAAATGATACCTGTCCATATAGTATTTTAGAATAGATTTGCCCATACCTTATAAAAGACATAGTCTTTCCATGACTTCCACCATACCATACTTATAAGATACCATGTCAATCCTTGCTGTAAACCTTTCCTGCTTTCCCGGTCTACCCAACCCATTATGATGTCTCCTTCCTCATGCCGCGTAGTGGTCCTCAATCCAAGCACAATGTGGCAGATCTGGATAGTAAAACATAACGCTTATGACCAAATATGAACCACATGGTTATTACGACCATCAAGTTCCAATTCATCAAAAACAATAGTAGATGACAGTGTGATGTTTTGGGGACTACTTTATTGCATGCGGTAGAATACATACTTTTGTAATAGCATTATTTGTCACCTTATCACCCGAGTGTATTGATATGTAAAAAGTAGTGCCATTGGTGTAACTGAAAAAGGCAGAATAAACAAGTTAAACTTGAAAGCTCTCTGGTTTCTTTGATGTTTTGTGTATAATTCCTGAGTCAACACATGACTGAAAGAAAGAGCAAGTTCCAAAGAATAATGTTAGTTGTAAAAATAAGCTCTGTCATCAATAGACCTGTCATCAATAGACCTGACACACACAAAAACACAGAGAGCGTGCTGACAGCAAGAGAACCACATGACTGGTTTTCACCCTCAAACAGTGTTTCATTCTCTCCTTTCGATCCTTTCTACTGTTCTCCAATGATATACGTAACCATGATATTTGAAACACAAAAAGGCACAAAACGGGGACAAGAATGGAACATTAGTTGAGGGGCGGAAACAAGTCGCATGGCTCTCTCGCTCTAAGCAATCTCTGCAGCCATTTTCTCCAAAGAACAATAAACAATCATTTTGAGAGAGCTAAGGCCACCGAGTAGAATCTCACTACATCTCACTGAACCCCCTAACTCACCTGAAATAATAGACTGAGAAACTCTGTTGGTAGTGCACTCTTGACACTCCATATTTGGTATTCTTCTAACGTTATAGCGCTGTCATTATCGCTATCATGCGATGCTAAAATATCGTCTACAACACTAGAGATGTTATCTTCTGCGTCCTGTAACGTGTCGGCCTCCTGTCAATCAAACAAACAAATAAATAAATAATGAAGCTGTAACAATAAATGAGGTGCAAGATACAAGACAATACACGAAACCGCTAAACATCTGTCTTTACTTACCACGTGTTTCGGCGGTCTGTTTTCGGATCTGACTTGTACAAGGACAGCAACCATGTCTTCTAATTCTTTCCTGGACAATAGTCCATCATGGTCTTTGTCAAAAATTTTAAAACAAACTAAAAACAGAGACGAAAAAAAATATGAATTTTTGTTTTGCCTCCTTTAAAGTTCCTGGTGTAAGATTTAAGTTGATGATTAAATAAAAACAGAAATATTATAAAACCGTATTTTTAATGATATTTTTAATAAACAATTCAGTGTTTACTATAGTAATGATATACAATGTAAACCTAAACTAAAAACTACAATTATTAAATGCTGGATCATTGAAATATGACTTTTATTGACCATATAAACAACTCCATCATTTACCTAAACACATGCACTACTAATAGAGCAAATATGATGTATGAGCATAGATCACCAGAAGACAAGAGATACGAGTGAGTTGACCATAGAGGGCGCTCTCACATATCTAAACAGTATTCAAGTTGAGACTGTCATACTCACATTTTTGTCTTTCTACCACTGGCCCCCTACAGCATGCCGAGAGTCCGCATGCCATCTCTTTGAAATCTATGTGATTGTCACGATTCTCATCAAATGCATAGAATAAACCTGGAATACAAAAATTTTCAACATTAAACTATGATGACCTTTTTAAAATGAAGGTGTTATACCCCCGATCCCAACACATGCATTTACACTTCTTCATATTTTTCATTTTTTTCTGATTTGTTTTATATTTTTAATATAAATTAAATACTGTAAAATACTTTATTTTAACAGGAATTAATTTGGGTGTTTTGTATGGAATTTAATTTTACTGATTTTTGATGAGTTGAATGTAAAATATAGGAAAAAAGGTATATTTGCTAGATTTTATTTCCACTGACTCGTTTCCTTCAGCGAAAATTAATTCCAAGTGAAAATAAAGTATTTTACAGTATCTATAGCAATATTAACAGATGAACTTAATTAATTGTTCACATTACAGTGAAAATTGAGGTTGCAACAAGCAAACACTATTATTTGAATTGCCACGTAAAAAAATCTAAATTATGTTTTTTGAGTGATTGTGGCAACATGGTTGCAAAATTGAATATTTCAACGGAATTCTTTTCAGTAAGAACATATAAGTGAAACATAGAAACACACAGGACTCAAAAGTGTCACTAGTTTTATTTCTTGTCAATAAAGAGTGTTGTTGAAATGCTGGAGAAAAATGATCATTTTAGAAAACTTAAATGAGATGTTTAACTAGTAATAATCAACAATACTTAAACAGTGTATCAGGGATTTTTTAAACAAGGGAACAGGTGTGCAGCGCCCTCATGGCATGGCCATGCGCCCCCTTACCCTGGGGAGCAGATCCTCTGGCAACCTTAAAATTCTGATTGACCAGGGATCACATGTGGTCACAGTCTTCAACTGTGACCTGTCTGATAGTAATTTAGGCCCCAAGGAAGGCATAGAATGCCCCATTGTAACTTAGAATTATCAAAAAATCCACACCCTGGTAGGGAGAACCCTATCTCCCCAATTGGTGGCGGCACTGAATTGCAGTGTTCCCTCTTGCTTTTTTTTCTAGGAAAACCCCTGGTGTATAAACACATAACATACTGGACAACGTGCGCATATGAAAACAATACTCAGAATACGTTATTATGTTTTGGCTTTGATCACCTGCTTGTTAACACCAAAATACATTATATTTTTCAGTACCAGACTGTTAGTACTTACCTTCACATAGATTTCTTGGCACGGGTGGAGACACCATCGGTATGAATGTTTCTAGATCAAATCTGCCAGTCTTTGATAGCGCTTTCAACTGCCAGTAACGTTTCTCCAGCTCTATGATATCAGCTTCCTCCACTGTGGAGAACACAAACAAAAAAAAGAATTTCAAAGATTTTTTAAACTAATCTCAAAGGGGGTTTCCCTAAGAAACTTACTACAATGTATACCATGCATTTAGTAAAATTATGAATTATAAAAGCTAGACTGTTATTAGAAATTGCTTTTATTTTTTTGTGAATAGAAACAGTGTCAGTTGGTAGCACAGCATAATCCACAGGCAAACTTTTAACAACCAATATATGTCAATAACGACCAGATGGAATTGTGGGTAATCACTGGCACTGTGTGGTGGCGCCCTTCTGTATGCATGCTTTTAAATTATGGGAATACTGTGAAATACTTTATTTTAGCTGGAATTAATTTTCGCAGCAAAAGCTTTCTGGGTGTTTTGTATGGAATTTATTTTCACTGATTTTTGATGAATGTGCGACATAAGAAAACAAGTAGCCTCTCGGCTGAGATAGCTCCGCTGTTAGCAATGCACATTTCAATTAAAGAACAGAAGATATCATTAGAAAATGAACAATATGCATAGTATCAATGCAATGGGACTTGCTGTTTTCAACAAGAA